GGCAATAACGCTGCATTCTTGCTTTCTCTGGGAGTCACCGTTTTGTGCGCGAAAACGAATGCAACGGTTGTTGAGCCTTCACCAGAAGAGATAATAATATTACTGTAAATGTTCATGTTTTTCGATTTGAGTAACTTGACATCAGCTTTGCATGAAAGTGTGCGTCCCATATTCGTAACGTCTCGTTTTTAACCTTTAAAATACCAGTTTCTGGTGTTGGGACACACATGAACGTTTAGAAAGGTAGGGAGGGTTAGGAATGTCGGATGTGCAATGTCGAGCATTACAGTTCCGTGTTTAGTTTTATGCAAATACATAAAAATTGCAAAATAATGTTAATTGAAAAAGCAATATTATTTTGTTTTGGCACACACTACTCCCGAGCCGAAAAAAAAATTGTTATAATCAGTGTGTCGAACCGAAAAAAATACGGGTTCGGTTACAGTTCAGGTTCAGGTAAATTTATTTTGTTCCGGTTCAGTTCCGGTTCGATTAATTTGATCCGCGAACCGGCTCGGGGCGCTAAACCGGCTCGCGAGCCGGTTCGGAAATTATGAATGAAAAATTGCAACATCAAAATAAATTACAAATAAAACATCTGAAATCAGCACATACGAAACGGGATACATCGTGGTGTAAGGCTCAGGGATTTCTACCAGGAATGGTTTCTTTATGTGCACTCAAAGGTTACCTCACGGACGTTTACGCATTCGGACTTCATCTAATTGGGTCCGACGCAGTAGCTGTAAAATCCGCGACCTATACAAACCCACTTACAAGTAGAACTCGCTAACTATCCCGCCACCTCGGCGTGTAAGCAATTGAAGGAACAGTGGGGAGAAAATACAGCTTTCTTTATTTGAACTAGCCTTCGGTAACTCAAATTAGACCCTTAAGGAAGTTTTCATTAAACAACATACGGAATATGAAAAACACTTCACCGAACGCAACGCCAGAAGGACGTAATAGGATAAATATTAAAATAGAAGAGTTCGCTGTCTCACAAATATGTTAGCTTCTAAGTGCCTATACGAAACCGGATGCATTATTATCAAACTCCACAGCCTTTTCTTTTCTCATTCCGATGGAAGCAAGCTTAAAGAACTCGCGCGTTCTAGAAACGTGTTATGAAATGAGCACACAGCAGCATTTAGGATTTACGAGATTGTAGGAAAATAAAATCCAGTGACGCGATTTTTTTTTTTTTTTGCACAGCCTTCTATTTCTTTTTTTTCCGTGCAAGCCGCGACCAGCGCAATACTGGTTCCTATGTCAAGATTGATGGATGCAGCATTTGTCAAGATTCATGGATGCAGCGTTTATATTCCCAAGACTGAGTGGAGAAGAAAAATATGTAAGCGAGGTGTGTGTCAGTTGACGGCACTTAAAAAACAAATGGCATTGATAGCACATTCATTGTCAACAGCGCGTGGCCGAATCGTTTTGACATGAGCCGGTAACCGTTATTTTTTTTTTTTGGTTCAGTTCCGGTTCGGGTTCATCGTGATAACAATATAACGGTTCGGGTTCGGGTTCAGTTCCGGAAAAAATACCGGTTCGGTTCCGGTTTTCGGTTCGGTTCGGTTCCGGTTCGACACCCTGGTTATAATTGCGAGGAGTGCTTTAAAGTAATTGTCGGCCAATGTTTCGTTGTCTCAGAATGCATCGCGTCTTTTGTCACTTACCCAGTGGACTGCGTAAATTACTCGTCGATCTTCTAATCTTGAGGCAGAAAATATTGAAGAGAACCACACTCGCTCACAAACGCAGTTACCGTGTTGCCTACTCCACACCTCGCAGTAACTGCTGGTTGTAGTACACTGCACGATGGTAACCGCACGACTCCACGGTGTCCATTTGTAAATCCATGGCTCCGTCGCGTTCTCGCGCGTGCGCAGACATTTGCCGAATTTGTGCCGAATCTTTGCCCAACTTTCCTTCAAAAGTTTGGTATTTGTCGAACTTTGCCAAATCTGAAGTTCGGCAGATTCGGTCCATCACAAGTATTTATGCTACAATACAAATTTTTTCGATTTGAGGGCGAAACTGAAATTGTACTTCTGTGGGATGGTGATGCATAGCGTTTGCACCCAACTAGTGTGCGCTGTGAGGTCCAGCAAACTCGGAGCACACACTAATTGGGTACAAACACTATCATCATCATCCCACAGGAATACATTTTCGGTTTTGCCCACAAATCAAAAAATTTGTATTGTTACAAAAAAAAAAAAAATTTTTCATTTCTGCAAACATTCATTTTGGGATATGCCTGTCCTAGCCAGGTAGAAAAAAAATTGGCGAGTTTGTGGCCGGAGGGACATAATATAGCGGGCTAATCGTCCCAATAAATTAGGTAACTAAAATTTGTTAATTAACTTAAATTAGCTGATATAAACACAGTGGTGCTCTAAAGTTACCATTCGGGCCACATGTGAGGCTGGCAGTGCGAAAACGCAATGATAAGAGGCAGAAAATCGCACGGGCACATCGAAGTTGGAAGCATTTTCAGAACCCAGGAAAACAAAGCATGCACACCAAATATTTCTATGACTGACTGATTTAGTGGTTTTCAATGAGGCTCAGCAAGTTTTAACTGAAAGCATACCTTTATTTTCACCAAAGTAAAAAGTCAATTAACAAATACTATTAGTTAATTATTTGACTCACTGCGATGATTAGCCGCCTATTCTATGTTGCCCTGGCCATATAACCCACCTGCACAGATTCATTAGTGTACCTATAACTGCTTTTTAACGTTTTAGCACTAGAACGCTCGTTTTGACGAAAACCCGGTGATGTCTTTCATTTGTCAGTGCCGGGGAGAAAGGGAGAAGGGGGAGAGGGTGACACGTGTGATGCTTCCATTGGTCCGAAGCGCTGACGTCAGCACTCGTCAACCTCTCTCTCTCTCCCCGGCGCTGACAAACTGACAGACACCTCTGGGTTTTTGTCAAAACAAGCCCTTTCGTTTTCGATAAAGTCATGCTCGCAGCTGGCACGGAGCAAGAGAGGAGAATGCACCGTGCAACACCTCCTAGATAACAAAGCCGTAGTGCTCAACGAGATGGCGTCATCAGAAAACTCCAACACTGGACACAGATTGGAAAAGGGTGCTGCGTCAGCGTTCACGTTTGAGCCGAACGGTGACACAATCGTGTCCAATCTGTGCCCAGCAAAGACCTTCCTTGATGACACCATCTCATTCAGCCCTACAACTTTGTTATCTGGGAGGTGTTGCGCCAAGGTGCGGTGGAATGGGGGCGTGCTCAGTTGCCGCTCTATTGCCGCCGACTATTCTTTGCTGTGGGTTTCCATTGTAGCGGTGCGTGGGCTGTGATGTGTGAGTGTAGTTAAAACGATAGATGCAGTTCCTTCCACGACTGACATACAGTCGAGCCCCCTTATATCGCACTCGGGCATTTCGAATTATTGTTTATATCGAACAGTCTAAACATCCCTTTGAAAATCGCATGTAATAGTATAGGAGCGTTGTCTTTTTGTATCAATCTCCCACGGCGGGGACACTTCATATGGTGAACGCAGCCCGGCCACCGGTAACTTTTGAGTAATCCGATTGCGCCTGTGGCGAGCACATGAGCACATCGCTTGCCTTGCGTGGCTGGCACACTGCCAAGCCAGCATACACGCTGGAAGATACACAACCCCAACGGAAGAGCAGTTGTAAAAAAAAAAAGACAATGAACCGTAAAAAAAAAAAGAAGTAGAGGATGGCAAAAGCAAGGGGAAGGGCACACGTGCGCCTGCAGGACGAGCAGGGAGTGTCCGCTGTGGGAACGGTAGCCTGCGCCCTTTTCTTGAACACTGTTGATGCTGCGCGACTCCCTAACCCCAAAATAAAATGAGCAAAAAAAAAAAGTCTTCGGCAAGTTGAGTGTCGACAACAAGACAACAACGGTTGGGCAATCGCACTTTGAACGCCTTATCTTTGTTTACCTTTTTCTTTTGCAGTTATTGCTTTGCACGTTTTTTTTTGCTGCCTGAATTTAGTGAGCTTTCTTTTTTCTTTGTTAACCTTTTTCTATTGCCATTGTTGCTTTGCCCGTTTTTTTTTTTTTTTCTTTTCCCTTTCTTTTTTTGCTGCCTGAATTTAGTGAGCTTTCTTTTTTGTTGCTTGCTTAACTTTTTTCTATCGATCAATAGATCTTTTTTTTGCGTCTCGCTTTTTGTGTTTTGCCACAAACATTGCAAACACCGCGGCGCGTGTAAGCGCGGCGTTGTTTGCGGTTTCTGCCAACTACCCTCTACTGCATTTAGCAGCTCTTGAATGCTCTATCTGGTAAGCTCCCATTTGTCGCGACCTTCGGTATTAACAGAGACGCCAGGAAATTTCAACTTGAGCTTAATTTAACACATTTTTGTATATAGAAGTATTGATATCTCAAACTATTTTATGATCCCCTTTGAATTCAATATATCCGGGTTTGACTGTAGATACGGTTCTTCCACGAGTGGTATGGATATGGTTATTTCCACGAGTGATATAGATAACCGTATTCAAAGGCGTCACATACTCTGACAGGCAGGGTACAGAAAAGGCGTGGAAAAATTACAGGAAGAACCCTTGGTGGATTCCTAGGGAATACATAAGCATGTCCCTTGGGAGACGCCGCACACCCCCTTTTGGGAAACGTTAACACTGACCCCTAACGAGGCCAAAAAGAGGCAGCAAAAGATAGAGGAAGCAAAACAGAAAGCCGAAAAAGAAAGCCAAAACAGAAAAGTGAAGGGGCGAGCGTTAACAAATCCCAAAGGGGGACATGTGTGGTGTTTTCCAAGGGTCATGCTAACGCATTCCCAAAAGAATCCATCGATGGATCTTCCAGTAATTTTTTTTTTAATAAATCTGTCTGAATCAAAATTTAATATGAGCTTGTTTTTATTCCGTTCGATAATAGACCGTCAGACGGGGCCCCTGCGAACACCGCTGTCTGTCAGCGCCCAATGAATGGAACCGTTTGTCGGCTTGCTAGTGAACGTACCTGTCCAACAGCAGCTCGACATGGCTTTCCGTCAGGGCCGCGAGGGTGCCCGTTGCCAGGGCGACGCACGTGAGGCTGCCCTGCTCGCTCAACACCACCCGGTCTCCCGCAGCCAGGCCAACCGGTGGGAGGGGCCGCGCCGGCACCCCAGGAGCGCCGCGCTTCCGCTTGAGCACGTGGCGGACGGGCGGTCGGGCGTCGTCGCCAGGTGGCGCCTCGCAGTGCAGCAGGCTCAGGTCGCTCAGGCAGAGGCCCCGGGACTCTCTGGCAAGAAGAGAGCGACGCCGTTACGTAATGGAAGAAGTTCCCGAGCACCATTCAGTTGTAAGCTTGGGGGGCAAGTGACCTTGAACAGGCGTCGTCCAGCCAGAAGTGCTCCTGGAGGTCTCGCTCCCCCGCATGGTATCCCTCCTCGTCCAGCATGCGGCACCAGGAAAGCAGGTAGGCCCGGTGGGAGGGGCTCAGGTGGGATACGCTCTGTGCCACAAACGCTGGTCGCTCCTCCCCTTGGACCGGCTCCCTGCACGGCGGACGGGTTTACGCTTTCAGGGGCCCGTACGCGAGAAAAGGAAAACCTTTCAAAGACTGAATTGTCTTCTTTCCAATTCGACTGGTGCGGAGGACTATGATGTTTTGTCTTGTGTGAATAGTGGATTTTGAGTTTGAAGCGAATTGAGGTTTTGGCCGAATATTTTCGATTTGAATATTGAATAGTTTTCACACGCCTTATCACTGCATAATGCTTAGAAGAAAACTCAGGTAAACTTCTGAAGGTTGTTCCACTTATCCATTCATAAGCTAAGTTTAATCTATCTATATTTATGAACTGTGACCTCAGAAGGTTTAATGTCTTGGGATGGCAAGTAAACAACGGATTTGACAGAAAATGAATCCAATAGAGATGGCCAACTATGCCCAATTGAGTGAACTTACAAATCATGCAATATAAAATATTGCATGAAACGCGCATGATGAGCGCAGGTTGTAAGGGCATCTCTGCCTAACCTAGTATACTCTTCGATAGCAGTCGGTTTAATTTTGAAACTTTTACTAGAATGTAGATATACACATTCAGTGTTTCCATTTATTTTCAAATATAGCCAGCACGCGTGCACCATCCCACTTTCAATGTGTGCTTTTCTTCCAAGCACGCAATTGTGATATTCATACTTTCCCAATTGTTTATTGCGGCGGGTTACCCCGTTGAGTGCGCTTCTTACCGAGCACAGATGTAATGCAGAGAAACAACGCCCGCAGAGCTCGCTTCCGCAGGTATTGCTTCTCTGCAGTGCACCGGTGCTCGGTAAGAAGTGCACTCAACAGGACTAGCCTACCGCAACCAACACTTCGAAAAACGCAAATTGTGCAGCTCTCTAAGCGAATATCGAATAGTGTATTATTCGAAACTACTATTTGAAATTCCAAATATTCGCACAACCCTAATTATGCTTATTAAAATATAGGTTGACTCACTCCACAGAACAGATTTTAAAACTGGAGGCAACCCATGATCATAGCCAAAATAATTACAGGAGGGCACCCAAGACTGCTTACGTGTAAGGAGGCAAAAGCCTTCCTACACAAGAATGCTGCGGGAGGAATGTTTTCGAGTAATGTTTCTACACGTATTAAAGTTTTGAACGTACAGGACAATATCGAGGACAATGTCCTAGAGATCGACGCCAAGTATGGCACCTAGGACGACCTCTAGGACGACATCAAGGACAGCGTTTAGGACGACACCGAGGACGATCTTTCAGACGACCTCAAGAACGACGTCTATGACGACGTTGAGGACGGTGTCTGGGACGACGTCGCAGATGATGTCTTAGAGGACGATGTCAAGAACGACGTCTAGGACAACTTCTAGGACGATCTCTAGGATGACCTTAAGGACAACATCTAGGATGACATTGAGAACGACGCCTAGAGGACGCTTCAGGAGGCTGTGGCATATTTGCATGGGTGGCCACGTTTGCCTGCGGAAACCGCCGTAGCTGTAGACACTGCAGCCAATGTTGACGCGGTCGCCTCACAGTTCATCGCACAAAGCATACAACAAGCACAGATGAAGCCTGAAGAGCATCTTTTGCACACGGTGCTCCGACGGTGAAATAACGCTCCCGCACTTAAGCGTAAGCGTGAGCGGCATGTTTGATGACATATTTTTATGGCCACTTTTCGGGCACAACGACGCCGCTTTTACACGTAATGGGACAAGTAAGGTCGTCCTAGAGGTCTAGGACGACCTCAAGGACGACACAAAAAACAGCATCGTCCTTGATCATACGAATGAGCAACGCGTGCCGCTCAATCATATTTTTATGGCCATATATGCCGCTTTTTCGCTCAATGGGACAAGCGAGGCTTTCGTCTTAAGAAATGTTGACATACAAGAGCGAGAAAAGTTTCCGAGCCCATCCTTGGACACTACCCCGCATTGGCTGGTGCTCATACCGTGCCAGTGTGAGGCAAGGAAGCTTGGTGCACGCTAGGTGCGCAATTGGAAATTTCAAACTCCATGCAAAAATTTAACTTTTAGTGTTTTTTTTTTACCTACACCAAATTTTAAAAAGAGGAAAACCTATTTTAGCGTTTTTTTAGGCTATGTTGAGAACCCCAGGGTGCCACTAAAAAAGGGAAGAAATTGGTTCATAAGTTAGCCAACTGACTAAAACGTCGGCAAGCTTTTGAAATTTCCACTTATCTGGAGTTTAATATAGCTAAAGTATCGACGCTCGACCTCATTATAGTCTAGCCGTGACGTGGAACTTTTATTAAAAACGTGTACTGGGCGGTTCGGGGTGAGAAATGTCATCCTTGTATGCGGCGCAAAACCGAAACCGACCCTCCCAAAGAGTGTCTGCGATGTCGACCCTCCGCCCTGCGATCGCATCGCATTGCTCACGTTATTTGTGGCGTAGACATATGGGGCGTAGAAACGTTAGTTGCGGAGCCGGCGCAGAGTGGAGGGATGAACGCCACGGACGCTCTACGGTGGAGTCAGTTTCAGTCTCGCGCCACGTACAAGGATGATGTTTCTCACCCCGTAACACGCACCAGAATCTTTTTTAATAAAAAGTTTTATGACACCACAGACTATAATGATTTTCCAAGTATATGCAAAAAAAGAAAAAAATGAAAAAGTTTGCAGAAGCACTTTTCAAGAAATCTGAAATAGAAGCGGACTTGTACAGCTTTTTGTCCTGTGAATTCAGCTATCGCACTTATCTTGGGCAGAAGTAAACATAAACCGCATTTATTTTAAAAATTGTGTGCAGCGATCGCTGTGCGGCGATCCTTTCTGCCACCTGTTACCTGTCCAGAGCGTTGTGTTGTCATCGTCGACATCCCCGAGCCAACTTAGTCGCGAGCATCGGTCATCTGACACCGCTGATGACGTCACTTCTGCTAGTTTTCCTATCCGCTCTCGCACTTCCCTACCCTCGGCGCACTGCAACGGATGGGTCTACGTCGAAATTGTAATCGGCTATTACGATGCTCCTACAGATAAGATCGAAATAAAACTTGAGACACATAATTTTTAAGATGTCTACATTACTACTTTTACTGTTTGTTCAAATTGAAAGAACTCTTTAGCTTTCTTTTAGATAACTAATTAACCAATTTTGCCTCTCTTTTTAGTGGCCCCCAGGGCTCCAAACTTAGTCCCAGGGCTAAAAAAATACCTAACACAAGTTCTCCCTTTTTTAACTTTGGTTCAGCTTAAAAAAGAGCACCCCCTAAGAGGCAGGTCGTACAAACAAGCTCAGCCACCACGCACCCTCTGAAGGCAGAGCACACGACGGCGTGGGGGCATTTGGGGCAGTGGCGCTCGCTGTCGATGGGGGGTGGCAGGCGGGCACCTGGCTGGAGGCACTGCGCCAGCTCGTTGCGCCTCTGCACCAGGGCGCCCCGGTCCCGATGCGGGGACGCCACCCAGCGCATGTCCACGCCGTCACGCAGATACAGCAGCAGCCCTTCTTGGGGGTCCCAGTCCTGGCGCTCTGCCATCATCAGGGAGTACAGCACCACCTGGGGAGACAAGACCACAATCCAACGCACGTCCCATTGTGGCGAGGACACAGACATCACCACAGACGAGGACGAGAAGAACTGAAGCAGACAAGCACCAACACCTTTAAGCTGAAGCTATGGTGGGAGCTACGTGCCCGGCAGACCAATCAGCCGCCTCCCGCATATTACTTGATCTGGTTCTCCGCGCGTGGGTATGACCGGGAGCATGACGACGTTGCGAAAAAGAGGCGTATGACTGGTTCAACAAGGACGTAGCTTCCACCGCAGTCTCAGCTTAGGGGTGAACGGAGTATAGCAACCAATGTTTTTAAGTGCTCGAAAATGACAATGAAATGAATGGTAGTAAACAAAAATTAGGAATAAAAAAAATTTAGCGGTCCTGTGTTATTCTACAGTACAGTCACAGCGATAGCTGTGAAACATCTTGTCGAAGTCGTTGGGCATCAGCTTTGCATTCACCGACTGTGGGGTGTGTAAAGAAAAGCGTTTTGGACAAAATAAACCTCTCCGAACGCTTTTGTTTTGTTCTATTTAGTTCCAAAAGCTTCCTTTTTTTTTTTTGTTCCAGAGCGTGTGAGAGCACGTCTCCCGGCATGAGCTCTTGGCATTGACACTGCTACAGTGCCATTTCGTTACCGGCTTTTTTTTTTTTTTACAGTGGAGCTGTTAAGGGCTAGGTTCCCCAGGATCGTGTCCGATATGTCGACACAAACCTACCAGGACAGCTACTGCCATCTATAAGCGACGACGGCAAGCACACAACCAGTATGGTTTCCGCCGTCGCTCGTAGATGGCGCCAATCTTTCCAACTATAATAAAAGAATGGATAGGTGGGCGCACTGGTGGGAATTCATCATAGGAAACAGCACGAAAAACAGACGACGACGAAGAAGAAGCACACAGTGTATCAAGTACAGCTCTGCTGGTCTTCCTTTTTCACGAGAGTGGAAAGGCTGAACGTTTTTATTTTCCAGAGAGTGCGTGCAGTGGGCATCGGGTACTAAAACAAACACAGGTATAAAGCAAGTTAACCCATTATGTGCCGAGTTATCCTAGTCCCAGCAGGCACCCAATGCCAAGTTTTTTCCGCTGCACAAAAAAAAAAAAACTTTGCTGGAAGTTGGAGGTTGCAGAAACACAGTTGTTTACTTCAGTACAGTAATCCCTCGTTATAACGAAATCGTTTTTTTTTAAGTATCGTTTTTATCAAAGTTCAACGTGGTCCCAACCAAAATGCACACATTTTTAACCGGATTATTCCAAGTGTATTGGCGGCCAACCGCGCTTATTACAAAGGCCACGGTGCCTAAAGCATGCAAGCCTACACGGGCGCACAGAGACCCTTGCGTTCCCTCCCCCTTCTCCACCAAGGCAAACAGCAAACTTGGAAAACGGAGTAAACGGGCGATAGAGGATAGAGCACGCAGAGCTGGCAGAGCGCCGCTTCCAATGCCAATGTGCCAACGCGGGCAGGGAGTGGCGAGAGCACCGTCAACATTCGGACGCTACTCACGGCGCCCACAGCCAACGCTGCCCAACTCCTGTCGGAATCGGATCAAGGAAGCAATGGAGCTCGGAGATCATTCCTTCGGGAGCCCCTGATGCACACCTGCATGGGCACGCCTGCAGCAAATTACACGCACACGTGCATCGTATGGCAGATTGGGAGTGTTTACCGAAAGTCGTTTAGATCTGTGAGGTTGACAAAAGTGGCCGGCCCAAGTCCAAAATCGCCGAAGAATTCGACATTCCGGCATCAGCTGTTCGACACTGTCCATCATATTGCGGAACAAGCAAGGTATATATTGGATGATTCGAGAAGTTTCTCATGCAGAAGAAAGCACACCCGCGACCCGAAGATGGAAGATCGCCAACTGCTTTGCGCAAGTCACATTTTCTCTCGCGAGCATGCTTGCCAAGCCGGCGCACGATTTCCATAGCTGCAACAATCTCTACAGTTAAAAAAGAAGCTTGGGAGAGTTGGTTGCTCATATTAACACACACTACAGTGCACTACTGCAAAAGTACACTCATACTGTACACTCACTCTTTACTCACGAAAAGAAAGAAAAAATCAAGCGAACTGCGTGGTTCGTTTGATTTTTTCTTCCTTTTCATCTGTAAGGAGTGAGTGTACGATGTGAGTGTACTTTTGCAGTAGTGCACTGTAGTGTGTGTTAATATGATCTCTACAGGAGTGTGTGAAAACATGTTGACAAAGCCGCCGAGGATAACTTTGATTCGTTTGCGCTTGTCAATGCGAACGATCCCGTTGTTGCCACGGATGCTACGATCGGAGACCTTGCATGCGGCCAGGGTAAAGACAAACCAACGTTGCAGAGGCACCTCGGGAAACATTGACTATTGCGGAGACGCGGTTTGAAACAAAGTGAAGTGCAGCAGCAGTGACAGCGTTCTTGCGATACCTGGAGTAGTTTGAGGAGAACTGATGCCCGGATGAAATTATCGGCAAACTCCACCTAATTATTAAGGCCTTATATGTCTCATCATTCAGTCGACCTTCAAAATCCTTAAGCGAAAATACGTAGGTGACGCGAAAAGTATGAAAACACATCAGCGACACAAAAGATACCAAAACGAAAGGTACCAATGAAACGGCGCCAAAAGTGCATCATCAGAGAGTGCGCTGTCTTTGGAGGTTCACTATCACTGGGATCACGGCCGACGCCACAATTCAACTCAGCCAATGAAACGACGCCAAAAGTGCATTGTCAGAGAGCATGCTGTCTTCGGAAGTTCGCTATCAAGTTTACATCGGCGCTTGGGTTTTTTCCTTTAAGGCGTCTTAGGGATAGCATAGAGACCCTGGGAATATTTTTTACTCGGTAATGTTGCCGCGAGATTTCATGACCAATGTTTGTTTGATTAAATATACGGTCAGAGTGTTCCGCAGTGTTCTCAAATAGCCTTGAAAACTTCTGGCACAGATTTTTTTTTTACTCTATTGCTTTTATTGAATTACCACTTATGTTGAATTTTTTTGTCGTCCCATTGAATTTGTTATAACAAGCAATTACTGTATGTACATTTATTTACCAGATTATGTTCAAAAAGCTTCTTAACTTCTGAATTTTTTCCATTTAAAAAAACTTTGTGTTGTATTCCTCAAAACATGGTACAGTACCACACAAAGTGGTACCTCGCATGCTGAGCACATGTAGCGCGATTCTTTGCACTTCCTGTGGCGTCTTGCTCCGTGCGCACGCACGGCATACTTGCGAGATTGTTTTTTTTCTGCAGTGGGGGGTATCACCGAGATAAAATGTCATACTGTAAGGCATGCTGGAAGGTTTGTCTCTGTTAGAAGGATATCCTACTTGGGTCTTGTGCTTGGCTGGTGGTATTCTTTAGTCATGTGACAAACGAGCTCCAGGTGATGGTCTGTCAGCAGCCTCTTCTTTCCTGTTACTGTCATTTGCAGAATGTTGCTCTTCAGGACAGCTATGTTGACGAGGTGAAAAAAGTACTTTTCACACCATTTGAACGACTTTCGCGCGATCGTAGCAGACAGTCACAACCATGTCTATCTTGTCAACTGCTCCCACGCAGGAATCGTATTCGGCCACACACAGCAGCATCCATTTCAGTTCACCAGGATCCGTCAAGGAGCGTTAAGTTGAAGCACTGGGTTCGCAGTTCAAAAACAATGTTGACTCGGAAATGCACACGGAGGAAGTTGCTCCACAAAACTCTTCACCTGGCATCAAAGAGGCAAAACCACAACTAAAAAACTTTGAGCCTTTCCGCTCTGGAGAAAGGAGAAAGACCAGCGGAGCTGTAGCTTCTGTTCTCGGCGGTTACTTTCCAGGCGAGCGATCTGCTCCTCTTTCGCAAGGGATTCTGAAGCGTTCGACGAAGGGGAGCTTGAGGCGATAGCGGCCACGTTGCCGTCGCTCATAGATGACGACACTGAACTCTGGACAGCTACCGCCATCTAGGCGCCAACCAGCCCATTGTCTAGTTGCTGCCGTCTCTCATAGATGGCGGAAGCTGTCCAGGGTTTTGTGTCATCATTTCTTTGCTGGTGGACACGATCCTATGAAAACTAGCCCTTAACAGCTCCGCTGTGAAAACATGGTTAAATGAGTTTGTCCATGGATGCAACTTCCAGCAAAAAAAAAAAATTTTGTCGGCCTGAGGTTAAGTTGGGAGCGGCAGAGAATAAACTGAAAGCTCGAATCGAGTCGACTTGGGTGAGGCAAGGGGTATGCCCGGGAGCGCGGCCGAGTATGCTCGGGTGAGGCCCTCTAAAGGTTAACGGTGTGGCATAGCTTTGTGGTAATGCCTTCGCTCCGCACGCAGCGAATCCAGGTTCAATTCCAGCGAGAAATCTTTTTTGAAGATTCAGAAACGTCGACGACGGACGCCCACTATGTCAACTACAACATCAACAGCTGACGTCATTTAAAGTGGTGGGAGGAGTCCATAACGGCCATCGCTGTAAAACATGTCTGTAGGAAGGTCTCTCCCTACCTGCGCCTTGTGGTCGTGGGAGAATGTGTGGCGACCGGTCTTGAGCTCCAGGGGCACCCGGGCGGGCTTCTTGTGGAGTGCCACCTCCACGCTGGCGTCCACCTTGCCCTTCAGCCCCAGCCGGGGGCACCAGTGGTTCTCCTCAATGTCTGCCACGCGCGTCACCACCGCCGCCACAGGGCGCTGATCACCGGCCGGCCTGAAACGAGTCGAAACAACGCAGAGGGGTTCCGTTATTCGACCGCCTTCCCTCGGAAGTATGCATTTATCGGAAACCTTTGGACGAGGACAACCAAAAGGAGCTTTCACGTTGTCAGGGTTAATTCTCTTTGAATTCGTTTTCGGGTTTTTCTTGTTTTTTCTTCCCCATACGGTGTTTTACAACGGCAGCTGTCGGAGCTCCTTTCAGGCGAAATCTGGCTTGTTTGTACGCAGCAAAACCACGGAATTACGGGAAGAAGGTGATAGCGCTGCCACGCATGAGGGGTGATGGCGACGGGGAGAGCGATGGTGGGAAGAGTTAGCACTAACCCTCAGTTTCCCCCCTCTCCTCGTACTTGCCACTACCGCTTCAGGAATTCAGAAGCTTCTCACTTCCGGCTTCCGGCGCGTAAACAAGGCACTTGCTCAGTCCTCCGCCCCCTCCGCTTCCCCCAGACATAGCCATTCCTCGCAGCCCTCTGTTCCAAGAAACGGGAGTGACAAGTGCGCCACACTGAGCGGAGTAGACGGAGGGGCCCAGCGATATCAGAACAACAAAGGGTGCCGGACCTTAACTATCATGTGAGAGAGGCAGCGTGTAAGCGTCTCTCACACCATCTAAAGCATATCTCCTGCAGCTGTTTCACCAAATGTGGTGCCAGCAATTTTGCTTGGTTTTCATTTTCCGCGTTGACAAAAAAATCCGAGTTCGTACGAGCTCCTCTCAGAGGACATTCGGAATTTTGTACTTCCTTCACGATTTATCCACTCATCTCTCCTCGCAACTGCATGTTTGTGTCGTGTTACAGGGCAGAATTTTCCCGGGAAGGCAGGGAAGGCAGGGGGGGGGGGGGGGGGGGGATACCATAAAAAATTCTATTGTATTTAAAAACGTTTGGACAGGATTGAGCAGAACTCCGGAAGAGAGAACAGCCACCTTAAATAAACAGCCGTCAACCCTAATGTTGTGCTAGTACTGATCTAATGACCATTTGCAGAAAGAGAAGTAACATGGTGTCTACCAAAGTGATGTTTTCAAATTCCCAGACTTTTCCAGGTTTTCCCCAACTATTCTATAAAAAATTTCCCAATCACCCCTGAAGGGGGCATGACATGTTCGAAGTGCAGTTTTTATGCGGAAATACATGAATTGCATTTCCACATAAACTTGGACAGCCAACAGGGCAGTGGCCAATCGCCAGATCCTATTACCTTCTCAGTGTACTCTTCATTGAGAGGGCACAGCAGCGCAGGGAGCGAAAACATGACTAAACCCTTACTGTTCTTCGTACAGATGCTGCCGTGGTTTTTTGCCGACTCATCGTTCGTCATTTCACCAATTCAAGCACACGTCGGAGTGAATCCAGGCCAAGTGCAAGTCGACCATGATTGGTTCTTCAAACCACAAAAAATGACGTTACCAGAAGCAACGCTACTTAAAGACCGGCTGAACTCCACAGACTTCAGAGGGCACGACAGTGCAGAGAGCGACAACATGGCTAAATCCTTACTGCTCTTCGGGCAGGTTAGTCCTCAACTTGACCCAAATTGTTCAAAAAGTGATTTTAGGTGTCTTGTTATCCCACCATGCCCTCAGAAATGTTGTGAAATTGTTGAAGAGCGTTGTAATGTTATTCTATTGCTTCTCTCGGGTGACATAGAGACCAACCTGGGCCCCAATACAAGAGCGCAAGAGGGGGATGATCTTCTGGCAAAAGTGTACGCTACTGTTCAAAACCTTCAGACCGGGCAAAACACGATTCTTTACGCAATCAATAAGTTTTAAAAAAAAGACAAAAGAAAACAAAATTTTAAAGAGTGTTTTTTCCAACTAGAAATTACAACAGCAGTTGCTTCTGAAACCAACATTACTGATCAAGTATCTACTCTTCAGAGCGAAACATCTGGTTTGAAAACGAAAAGTGTAGATTCTTAAAGCTCGATCACGCGGGTCCAATCTTGTTTTTCGGAATAAATGATGACGAAAAAGAAACATAGACAGAGTCACAGGAACAATTACAGAAGCTATGCTCTGATAAGCTGGGGATGGAAATCCAGACATCAGAAATAGAAAGGGCCCACCATCTAGGCCGATTTAGGCCAGATAAAAAGCGACCAATTATTATGAAATTTTGTTACTTCAAAAAGAAAATTCCAGTGCCATCGTCGGCGTATAAACCTAAAAATAGCGGCATAGATAACAATATGTATCTTCCTGTCAGTGCTTGTTTTGATTGAAACAAGCTTTTGAATTTTGTTAAAGCAGGGTTGGGCAGAAATACTCGAAAATGTATTGGAAATACAAATACTGGGATACATTAAAATAGTAGCTAAAATACTGATACTAAGATATATCCGTAAAAATGTATCGCGATACGTATCGGAAATACATTTAAAAAAAGGCAAAAAGTATTTGGAAATACAAATACAGGAATACATTTTAGGGAGGGCAGAAATACAAATTCAGAAATACTGATAATGCAATACATTTTCCAAATTTTTTTGAGACGCCAACTGAGATGAAGCTTAAAGTTTGAAGTGGAAGTTTTCGATCCCGAAATTACTTTCCTGTAGGCTTGGCACTTTGCCTTGAAGGTAGTTGTTTCGGACGACAAGGAGTCTTCAATGGGCCCAAAAAAACGTTCCATCAAGGGCCGACCGCGGTCCCTTCCCTGACATCCTGTCTGTTTGACGAGGGAACCCTGTCAACATTGATCACATGACGTCATGGTGGAATGAACTAGTATTCTTCATCTGTAGGTGTGGCCTTGAACATGAAACTTTGCCACGCTGCTGTATGAAAGGACAATACGTACTTTCGTTGTAGGTTTCCTCGTTGAAGATCGTGCAGGCAGTGTCATTTGGAATATTTGAGAACAGTGGACCTCCTGAAGCACCTTGGAATACATGTCTTATCATCTGTTACGGTTGAAAAAACGATACGGTAGCCTTCCTGTTCTGAACGTCCTTACTGCCTACCCTCCGCCACCGATGCACGGATAGCAGTCTTCAAGTTTTGCCTAGAATTATCCAAACAGAGACCTCGTGGATTGCGAGCTGATATTGCCGGCACAGGTGCGAGCTGTCCGAGAAACAGCGGGCTCGAGACGAGTCGCGGGAGTACGTAGTCTGGGATGGCACAGCGAGGCCACTTCTGGCCTCCTTCTGGGTTTCGGATCACCAGAGCAGCGGGTCACGTTCACGTCGGCTGATGACGTACCCGTGAGCCGTGCAATGTTACGGGCGCAGCCGCAGATGCATTCGAATATGTGTTGAACCTCACTGCGTGAGTCTTCCTACCATTTCAAGTCAACCACCGCCAGGCTCGTGCTGCAACGGAATGTGACTCCGCTTTGCCGGCTGGGTGTACTCTGTACGCTAAGGCGAGAGAGACGGTTAGCAGCGGGCATTGGATGACAGCAAACAATGACTCAAGAAATCCCTACCTAAGGACCTGCGGCAGAAGATGCTCTGACTCAACTCCTGGCACGCCACCTGGTTCGAGTCCCTGACTACGCAGCACTTCTCAGAAGACAGAAGAGGACTTATAGAAAAATAGTTTGGAGAATCACAAGGAACCTTGGTCAGCAGAGTAGCAATGCCCCAGCATCTCCTTGACTCTAATGCCCTCATAAGTAAAAAAAAAATGCGTTCGGACTTTTCTCTTTTTTTTTCGGGGGGGGGGGGGGGGGGGGGGCGGCGGGGGGGGGGGGGGGGGGCGGGGGGGAGTTATTTCTCAAGAAATGTAACGAAATACATTTTATCCTGATTGTATCGCGATAGAAAGAAACATTCCAAATGTATTTCGATACAGGAATACAGATACTCGTGAAAAAAATGTATCGCGATACAGAAATACAGATACGAAATGTATTTCTGAAATACTATCGCGATACATTTGTATCGCGATAGTGCCCAACCCTGTGTTAAAGGGAAAACTCATCCCTTCAAGCTGCGAAAAAGCAAGCTGATCATTGGTAACTCGGTATACGTCTATGACATTACCTCAGACCAGGTCAAGCTGCCCAATCTGAATGACGAATCAGTCCCATTTAATGTAAATACCGAGCTCTAACTACATGAAGTCAGCTCAAAATACTTAATATAAATAAAAGAAGCACCATTAATAAAACCGAAGATTAGGAACATATGATCCTCGTCCATAACTCAGATGTAATTATATTAACAGAAACATGGTTGAGCTCTAATATACTAGATAATGAAGCCTCTCCTCCCGGGCATATTATTATATGCAAAGACCGTTTGGGTAGAGGAAGAGGGGTTGCCATTGTATTCAAAAACAACTTACTATTCACACACTTTCATGAGCAGGAATCAAAAGAAATGGTTTGGTGCTAAATAAAGTTTGACAAAATATATGTTGTAGTGGGTGCCGTTTACAGACCTCCAGGTAGGTCTGTAAAAAGTATCCTAAAAGATATAAAAAGTTTTATGCTGACTCATGCACATAGTATTGACAAAATTGTTCTTGTGGGAGACTTTAACCTTCCTCATATAGACTGGAACTTATAGTCTGCGGAATCAACTGATCATGGAAGTACAGAGTGCATATTAGATATCGCATTTATATTTGATTTAAAACAACTTGTTCTATAACCCACACGAATTCAAGGTGAAGCAAAATCAATACATGACCTAGTCTTTGTTAATCATGTACTATCGAATCGGCAGATCTACCTATTGAAGAAGGCCTAATTGACCATAAAAGTGCGCTGCTTATGCCCGTGTCCCACTAAAGCGACAGACAGAAACAGAAGACAGCGACAAGCCTCAAACCCCCACAGCATGCTCGCGATGGTACCTTTGGCAGGCGTTTAGTCCTTCAATGCTCGTGAAGTAAGCGCGAGCGATTGCAAGTCTGCCAAAGATACCCTCGTGTGCATGATGCTCGTGTTTGAGCATAGCCTCCTTTATTCTAAAAAGCCTCTGATATCGCGAAAGACCCTGGTTTGAGGCTTGTCGCTGTCACTTGTTTCTGTCTGTCGCTCTAGTGGGACACAGGCCTTACAATTCCGCTATAAGTAACCCTGTAAAATCTGGAAATAAATGAAGGCAGACGACAACTGCATACCCGACGCACTAGAGGAAAGATATAACGAATTTGCCTCGCTCTCCCATAGCCCTTTTACGAATTTAATTCTAAAGAGCTATGCTCCATAGATAGCTAAATACTTATGTATAATTTCTGAAAAATCACTGACCGATGCGGATTTGCCAAATGACTGGAAAATTGCTCAAATCCAAGCAATTCATAAAAAGGGTAAAGAAATCGAGCTGTCAAACTACCGTCCAATTTCAATAACTTCTCAGGGCTGCAAAATTCTTGAACATCTAATTGCAAAACACATTACTACTTTTCTAGAAAAGCATAAAATGTTGAGTCCCCACCAGCACGGGTTTAACAAGGGCTATTCCACTACAATTTAGCTATTGCTTACTGTTCATGACCTTGCTTCGACACTCAATGACAATAAACAAGTTGATGTTATACTCCTAGATCTGGCAAAGGCTTTCCATACCGTCTCACACAGTAAGTAGTCATACAAACCTAATGCTATCTTATAAAAATTACAAAATTCTAAATTGGCTGAAAGTGTATCTAACCAATAGAAAACACTTTGTTTCTTTTGGGGGCACTATCTCGAAGAGTTGCACTGTTACATCTGTTGTACCCCAGGGTTCAAGTCTCTCTCCGTTGTTGTTTCTACTGTTCATTGATTTATGCTTAGATATTGACGACAGCATCAAATTGTTTGCCGATTGTGTATTGTTTTATGTTATTAACTCCCCTGAGAGCCAACTTAAATTAAACAGGTGCCTATCTAGAGTCACTGGCTGGTGCAGGAGCTGACAGATGAATCTGAGGACCTCTAAATGTGTCACTATGTCGATCACTCATAAAAAAATCTCCCTAAATTTTTCAGTATAGCCTACACAATCACATACTCAAAGTCCTTGAATACAAATACTTGCATCTTACCATTTCAAACAATCTTTCCTGGGACTCCACATCGCCTCTATTACATCAAAAGCTACTAACAAATTATGACAGTTAAAACAATTCTCTCAAATTTCCAACACCTGAAGTTAAATTACTCGCTTATAAAACATAAATACGGCCCACACCGGAATACGCTAACCTCATCTGGGACCCCTACAGGCCTGTTAATATTTATTTTTAACAAATTTGGGCGATATGAATCACTGTCGGTATTGATAAAGCAAACTGATTTGACACCTCTTACTAACTGCGCAAGAAATTATAGATTAAGAATGCTTTACCAAATCATCACAAAGGATCTTCAGATCAATACAGCAACCTCATAGCTTCCCACTGGAACTACTGTATTTATTCGAATATAAGGCTAGGTTTTTTTCCAAAATCCGTAGTCTCAAAGTCATACCCCGCCTTATATTCGAAGCTCAGTATAGCATTATGGCAATTTTTTTTTCTTTTTCTTGGGTCCTTCAACTGCCCCCTCGCCTTATAATCGTGACCGCATTATATTCGAATAAATACGGTAATACTAGGGCCTCCCACACAAGAACAGTATATAACTACCAGATTTGCCTTGACTGCTTCAAATATTAATTTTTTTTCCTGAAACATATTGGATTGGAATACCCTTCATACCAGCATCACTCATGTCGACTCACTTGACAGTTTCCTGCACCAGCTGAACGTCCCTTCGTAAAGAGTTTGTATTCTGTTCTCTTACTATGTGTATTTTTCTAAAGTTTTATCAACCATCTGTTTTTCTCCTCTCCTACTGAACCCCTGTCAGGGTAGTAGTATTGTGAAAAATATAAACAAATAAATAATATATCTGGGTGATGTTTGTTTTGGTGCGCACGTTTCAAGAGGATGCAATTCAAGTTCCGCTGAGACTCTTGTTTCCGAGCAGAAAATTTGCGTCAATACGCCAGTCGCCTCACACACAATGTGTGTCACACCACATACGCATTGTTTGTAGTTGCTTGGAGAAAGGGGAGCTCGGTTTTCCTGACCGACGTTCATTGTGCTGGAAATTCCCCAATTTTGTTTTCCCGACTTTTCCACTCACCAAATCCCCTATTTTCCAGGTTGGTCGACGCCCTGGGTAACGACTGCCGTAATATCCTGAGAGATAGCCCACACAAATTTGAAAGCAATTACTGCAAAAATGAGGAGTAGGCCAACTTTCGGTGCGCGATAAAAGAAAGTTGAAAAAGGTACTAGTTTAAAATTTGCGGCCAGTGAAATTTGCGATCGCAGCTAAAGGTGATGAAGCAAAAATGACCGCCCATCCAAGTCAGCAACGTTCGCTCGTCTCACGTCTTAGGTAGGTAACACCATTTCTGCCGAAGTTACTATTGGCCAGGGCCCTGAAATTACTAGAAGTGGGCTATTTTTCGGCGTTTCAGAAAAAGCAGAAAATCACGTGGAAAATAAGGGCAGGTTATCTTTCCGGGGTGGGGGCATCTCTCAAAATACTACGGTACAACGCAGATGGTGCGTACCGGCGGTCGGACGGGCCGCCAGTTGCCATGCATTCCCGCATCCATTGAGCGATGCGCGGCACCAGGGGCCGCAGCTGCTCTCGCACGTCCACTTCGGACAGCTCCAGGGCGTACCTAGGGACGGGAGAGGAAGCCAACAATCAAGCACGTTTCACAACCTCCTACCGCGGGGGTAACACCAACTGTATCGGGGGACTTTCCAGGAGAAACAAGGCTGACCACCAGAGGGCGTCACGCAGACGGAAAGAAGAAAAACATACTTTGAAAAAGGGGATATGCCCAAATAGAGGTTATCCGACTGTGGCATAAGTAAAAAAAAGAGAAGTATTGTCTTATTCTGTTCCCGTCGATCTAACGGGCAAAAGGTGCACGCACCCTGTCGCAAAGGGCGCTTCCGTCACACGGGTCGTAATTTATAGGTAGAGGTTAAACGTTGTCACTGGAAACAATAACTAGGCACCAACTGCTGCCCGATTTAAAGAATTCTGCCGTATATATCCATCCATCTGATAGCTGCACAATGAAGAGACATTCGTGGTGTAAGTCAATGGATGCGACAGAGCCGTATCCGCTAACCGACTCGAGCCGACAGTCGAGACCCAAGCACCTGTTCGGCTGCCCAAATTTCCCTCTGTGCAAGCCACCGCAATCTGCACCTCAACTCCGAGCGCAACAATTTTAAGACCGTGCGCTGGGACAACACCGTCCCCAAAGGGGGGGCTACTTGGCGACAGTCACGTGGTAAAAAAGAGGATGAGCTCGCAAGATCAAAAATAAAATTCTGTCCAAGATTTGAGGATGGCTGTCTTTTTCATGGTGTGGCTGTCACGACATTGCTCCCCATTGAGAGACGAAGGTTGGAGTGCATCTATACGCTGTTGCTCCGGAAACGCTCGGCCACATCTCGAGAGGGTCCGTGGAAGTAATGCTCACATCTGGTGCAAGAGGTCGCTGCGTTGCAGCAGCTTGTCCAGGGTGGCCAGCATGGTAGCTTCAGAAGCATTTTCTGTGACTGCCTTCGGAGGGAGAAAAGGAAGCCTGGGTCAGTGTCTTGCCAGCTGCTGGTATGTAGCATCGTTTAGGTGCCAGATGCTGACAAGGCATCGAAAACTGAATGTCAATTTAATGCAAATAGTAGAGGCACCTCCAGTGCACTCCACTTCCACATCGATTTTTTGTGTCTTTCTATTTGTCTGCCTTTTCCTACATTGCCTCCTATGTAAGATATTCTGTTACCACACGTAGCAAAAATGAGATTCCCAGGTTTTTCATAGTTTACTCTTAAAATCAAAAGCCTGTGAACGAAACTATATACCGCATTATCCCAAGTCATTGCCCACGCCTCTGCCGCCTAAAATTCATAAAAAAGTGGAGTCATCAATGGGGAAGCCCAAAAAGTTCAGGAAAAGCTACTCGCGGTGAGAAGATCGCAGGGGCACTTTCTGGTTTCTTCACAATGGGCAGTGCACATGCTACCCACACAGTTATGCTTTAATTTTCATAGTGCACAGAAGCTTGGCATTGCACATGCTTGCACCAGCAGAGGAAGTTGAGGTATACTCACTCTGAATTGTGAAAACATTCCACCAGGCAGCAATACCCTAACTTCTCACCGCAAATAAAAACGCCCATTTTTCTGTACATATCTACCGTGGCCGTACAGGAGAGACAGTGAATTCAAAACACGAATTAGTTTCATTGTTTTATACATGAAACGCCTGTCGGCATACAGCACAAATGCTTGTTCCGTAAAAACGTGTTTCCAAAACTGCAATGTTCAATTTATTAGGCTGATCTGTAAATTCTGATTTGTAAATTAAAAAACAAATAATTAAAAAAGGCAAAAATATTTCAGGCGCAGTGAGCGATCGGGCAAAAAATGCGACGGAGAGCGATGCTGGGGAAATAAGAAAGCTGGCGATCGCATTGGCAAATACTTTGGCATTGGGCCAAGTTGGAGGCCTTGTCAGTTACAAGGAGCAGAATCTTGCACAACTTTCTTGTTTCATGCATATCTCGTGCGCCTGTAGGCATCATGCTACTAACGCGAATTCAGACGGCATTGCTACATGGTGTGGACGACACCACGATAGCAGAGCTCGAAACGGGAAGCCTCACAAACATTTGCGTGAGGCGTTTCAGCGAGTCTTTATTTACCCGTTGCTTTTGTCCCAAACGTTGCACGACCTTAGCAACCGCTATCACAATGTTCCTGGAGAAGGACCAGGTTTCCAACTAACTTATTTCGGTGAAGACGGGCTCCACGGATTTGCTTTCAGTACACATGAAACAAAGCCTTTTTGACCTCAAAATTCCACGGTCATATTCCAGGATGTTGGACGTGTTCGCCGACCTCGCAAACCCTGGAAAGATTATTGCTTGTGCTATCCTTCTAATTGTTTGTCCGAACGGACTCTTGTAAGCAAAACGAAACATTACTCTGTTATTTCCATCGCTTGTGTGTTGGGCCAATCGGCAAGAATATGAGTAAACAAAGAAAGTTGCTTTCCCTCCTTTGTTTTACTCTCTCACGGACCTCCTTCGACCCCATGATCCGCGGTCGCGACATTTGGGGAGGATAAATGTTCATAAACTGCAAGGTCCACGTTTGGGTATTTGTAGCTGTGGTTCATCACTCTGTATCTTTTGAAAATTTATATTTGCCTACAAAGAGGGGTGGGTGACGACTCCGAATATTACGGTAATGTGGTGAAAAGTGCTCAATTGGGGAATTAAGTTAAGAACAAAAATTCGATGCTCGTCAGTCCACCATCCAAGTAAAGAAGGCGACGGCGACGTGCTCGCATTAGTCGTGTTGCACAGTGAACCTGCCAAGCACTTGCCACACTCCGTTTCCCCGCTTTACAGGTTATGCTGAAACGCAGCGTAGACGACAACCCGCCAAGTTGCGAAGAATGTGTTTTCGACCGGTACGTTTAGCGTCCTATACCGTCCGTTGTGAGTATAGTCCCGAAGGGGACACAGATCGCTTTGCAGGAACCAGCAAGACATGCCGACGAACGTCACCGACTTTGCTCGTAGAAGTTCCAGCATAAAGTAAAAACAAACGGAAGTGTCGCTGTTGTCTCAGAGTCCTGACCGGTGGCTGCTTAAGGGGGCAACCCTGGTCAATATTTTTAATTTGAGATTACAACTATTTTCAGCCAAAGCAGTGTCCCTGAATTACAAGGTATAATTTGTTTTCTTTCGACGTTGCGCATAGTTTTAACAATATCACGGCTCAAAATTTGGTTTCGGGCGTCTACGGCAAAACCAAAACTGTCAGCATGAGGGATGGCAACACCGATCATCGGCCGAACGGCTGCGACGCGACGTCGCAAGTGTGCTGCAGTACGCGGTACAACCAATCAACCGCAGCTCCCCGGCGATGCGACATCACGGGGGTGCTGTGCCAGTGTTGCTCGACTAAAATCTAACCCGCTTGCCACCCACTAAAGACCAGTTGGTTGCATCTTTAAAATCGGTTTTAGTGGAGTACGCGGCTTCACTTTGATGTTATATTTCGGCCGCGCTCATATTTCGTGCCACTAGAGCGACACTAGTCATTTACTTTGGTTTCGTTTTCGACCGGGGTCGCGCTTTAAGCTTCCGTGAACCATAAAGCCAAAGAGCAACCTGCAGCAGAACAGGTGTCGAACATCCACCTCTGCCAACGTACCACCGTCGGGATCACAACCGGCAACGGAACCACACGAGCGCGACATCGTAGAGCGGAAATCGAGACCCCTTTTTTGGACGCGGCAGGCGCACTGGTCGGAGACGCGTTCCGAGCATTGTAAACCCGCCGAGGGCGGCAGACGCAGCGAGAAAATGAGACCTTCTGGAAGAGCTCGTGGGCTACTGTGCCGGCCAGCATGTCCCGGTTGCCGGCCTCCTTGAACTTTGCCGCCAGCAGGCTCTTGCGGGGGCACCACAGGGAGGCCACCACGCTGCTCGTGCTCACCAGCGTGTCCGGGTGAACCACCACCAGACCCTTGGTGTCGTCCACCACGCACACCCTGCCCGCAAACGGGGCGTGCACGTACACCCGGTCTCCGACGCGCACCTCCAGCGTCCTCCTGAGTAAGAGACGAGGCATTTGCGGCACAGTGCACGTCCTCGGCTTGGCGTCCACTGTCAGTTACAGTAGGCAGCAAGCCGACCGCTTCAGCGTTGAGGTGCATTCACGCACTCGTGTTTGCTTGGGACCGAGCTCATGCGGCCTCTCGCGGTTAGAGAACACACTGGCACGCTGGCACAATCTGTGGGGTGGGACTGGAACCGACATTTATAGGTCTATCGGTTGACAAATCCCGCGGGAGGGCAGTGTTTGAAAACGGTTCTTCTCTGTTGTCTGCACACCAGCAAGTATGGGAGGTCGCAAGTATGGGCAGATGGCTTTTCTGGCACCACCGGCGTCGACGTCTCCACGAGCAACGAAGAAGCATTTTTGAATGATGCTCCTTTTGCACCAACCTTTGCACAAACTTTATGTTTACCATAAAAACCATGATAGAATCTCTTTCCACCACAGTTAATGATTCAACAACAGTTGCATTGAATAGCTTGTATACAGAACTCGAATAAGCGTCTCTCGCAAAAACATCTCACTCAAGGTGCATGGGTTCGGCGATAGCACACTCAAGGATGTCGACGTATAATTTTAGCGATATAGCAAGATTTGTGACTTTCCTTTTACTAAACGGGGTTCGTCGTTGTTTAGGTATGGTGTGAGAAAATACGATGGGCAAGTTCTATCTTATGAAACCTGATACAATACCATTACAGTGAAACCCGTTTAGAACGAACCCACGTACAGCGAATTATTGTCGATATCGAACTCACAAAAAATTTAAATAAAAAAAGTGAAAGCCGTTTACAACTCCCTGTAACGCCGAATTAGAGCGCAGCTCTTAAGGAGGAGGAGGGAAGGGTACTGGGGGGGGGGGGGGGTCAAGTGACCTTGGGTGGGGGTCACGTGACCTAGGGGGGTCACGTGCCGATGACGATGCCGATGACGTCATCAGTAACGATGACGATGCGGATACCGATGACGTCATCAATGATGATGACAATGACGATGCGGATGCCGGTGACGTCATCAGTGATGATAACGATGAGGATGCGGATGCCGGTGACGTCATCAGTGACGTCACTGATGACGTCATCAGCGATGATGACGATGACGATACGGATGCCGGTGACGTCATCAGTGACGTCATTGATGACGTCATCAGCGATGATGACGATGACGATGCGGATGCCGGTGACGTCATCAGTGATGATGACGATGACGATGCGGATGCCGGTGACGTCATCAGTGACGTCACTGATGACGTCATCAGCGATGATGACGATGACGATGCGGATGCCGGGAATGTCATCAGTGATGATGACGACGATGCGGATGCCGGTGACGTCATCAGTGATGATGACAATGACGATGCCGATGCCGGTGACGTCATCAGTGACGTCACTGATGACGTCATCAGCGATGATGACGATGACGATGCGGATGCCGGTGACGTCATCAGTGACGTCACTGATGACGTCATCGGGGGTCACGTGACCCCGGGGGTCACGTGACTTGGGGTGTCACGTGACCACCCTCGGGAAGGGGTCACGTGACCTTGGGGAGTCACGTGACCCCCGATGACCCTTGGGGAGGGGTCACGTGACCTTGGGGTGACCTTGGGGTCACGTGACCTTGGGATGACCTTAGGGGTCAAGTGACCTTGGGATGACCTTGGTTACGGTGACGGCGACGCCGCTCAAGCCGGGAACGGGCCCCTAAGAGCTGCGCTCTAAAATGCATGTAAAGAGTACTTTGTATATGAGCAAATCACATACATACACTGGAGCTCGCTCTTCCCCGTGCCCGCAGAGTCAATATTGTATCGCCCTTAGTCACTCAAGCAAATACTGCGAGAGCACAATCCTCCAAAGCCAGCATCGAGAATCGCCGAGATACGCTGAGGGCATCCGAAGAGTGCGGCGTCTACTGTCGAGTCCGAGCTTGCCACACGAATGGGTGCAGCGAGCAAACAAACCAGCGAGCGGGCCGGGAAAGAAGGAACCAAATAAGCAAACGACGCACTCTTTTCGTTCTTCTAATACGCCATAGTCATCTTCCTTGCCTTACAATCTACACACTTTCATCCCTTTGTCTCGGGCACACTACCAATGTTCGTTATTTTCAAGTAAAATATGTTTTCAAACAAAGCTTACCCGTGGCTGGAGTCACATAATGCTTGGAAAGAAAAGTACCTCCATTCAAGCTAAAAAAAAAGAAAAAGAAAGAAGCTAAACAAGCGACATCTGCGTCGTTTCGGAGCCGTGGCGCGCCATTGAGTCTGGCAGCCCTTACTACGCTTCGGCTTTGAACAGAACATAACAAAACCGAACCAAACGGCAGTGAGCAGCATAGTGAGCTGAACCCGTGTGATATTTGTGATGTTTCAGAGCTCGTGATAGAGTCGAACCCACTTATGACGAACACGGACATAGCAAAATTTCGGATATAGCAAGAAATTTTCATGTCACGCTCCTGCTGGTATACTTTCAATGTAATTTAAGCCCACTTTTAACAAACTTGAAGCGGCGCCACAGATATAAGAAATGAAATATTATGAGCCTGCGAAATAGTTTTGCAAAAATAAGCTGAAACTGACGTGCAAAAGCTTCAGCATAAATTTTAGAAATCTTTTGTCCTAAATCGCGGTGCACTTCGGCGCTGGGCGACTTCCCCAACAAAATCCACGGCGCTCTGTGCTCGCCGGGTTCGGCTTCGCTGCGACGCACATCCTGGCGACCACCCATCTTGTAAAGTTGGGTGTTGGGTACAACGGGGAGAAAAAGAAGGTGGACGAAAAAACAAAATCTGTGCAAGGAAAGTTGGACGCGTTCGTCGAACGCAAATTTTTTTTCCCAGCTGGACACAATCGACGAACAGATCGTGAAGACGTCTTTGATCCGCCACGCGCAGTCGAGCATCAACACCTGCTTTCGTCCGCAATAAAACCTAAAACTTGCTGTACGCTGTTCTATTTGTTTTGCCTGGACACATTTCAAGTTCACAGACTTTCCGAGTGTAGCATTAGGAATATGACACTTCATTTATCGAATAATAAGTATCAACAGAGTGATAATTGAAGTCACCTTCAACTAATTTACGAGCCACGGGATTGAGTGACAAGCTGAGCCGCACTGCGCCGTCTCAGCAAAGCTGATCTAAAATACCTTCCCAGCGCTACAACAGATGGCGCTCTCTCTCTACTCTCCATTCTCTCCGCTGCCCCCCCCCCTACTCACTCATCTCGTCCGCGCTCATGTTACCCCTTCGGCAACCTTAGAGCAAAGCTCTCCCCCTCATCTGCTTTTTTTTTTCTCTCGCACATCTTGATTCTCAGCTAGATTCCCTTACTAACCTCGACGATACTGCTCACTTTCGGGCGCGTGCTCTAACCCTCCACGCCGGGAAGAACACCGATCTGCAGGATGGCTAAGGGGAATTTAAAGACATCTTATTCACCTTTAACAAAGTCACCAAGCACTATCAAATGGGTAGGGTTCGGAGTTTTCAGTTTAAACCGATAAAAACCGACAAAAGTACGCCGAATTAAATTTCGGAAATTCGGTTTTAACCGAAAAAGGTCAGTTTTTAGGTTTGGCATTTTCGATTTAAATCGATAAAAAACGATAAAAGTACATCGAATCCATTTTCTGAAAATCAGTTTTAACCGGAAGCGGTCACTTTAACCTTCCAGTCGTACCGCAGAGCCGTGGCGAAAAAGTGGAACGACAGTGCCTATCGAAACGTGTCCGAATGTATGGAATACACGGATGCCATCACGACGTTTTGGTTTATTGTGCGCATCATCGATCGGAACGTAAGTCCGAAATGCCCCATGACTTCGCCATGTACGGGCGTGTTTTTAAACTCGTTGTAAGGAAGACTGACTTGATGCAAGCCCTGCATGTTGTGTTGTGCTTCAAAACGTCGCACCGTGTCTCTTTTGGTGCTCACAATAGGTTGATTGGCCGATTTTGACTCAGGCAGCGCTTCATCTCCTCAGCCTGCCATTGTCTAGTGTTAGCGTTGAGAGGGCATTCTCGAAGCTCAGTGTCATATTAACAGGAAAGATAGAGTGCGGATCAACGAAGAGAACCTGGGAAAGTAAATGCGTGTGTACTATAATAAGATCACATAATCCTGATATACAGAAGGTAAAGTTCCATGTTTTTTGGGCATAGGCTTCATATCTGACTTGTTTTTACTTGTTTTTAGAGCGCAGCTCTTAGGGGCCCGTTCCCGGCTTGAGCGGCGTCGGCGTCGCCGTCACCAAGGTCATCCCAAGGTCACTTGACCCCAAGGTCACGTGACCCCTCCCCAAGGGTCATTGGGGGTCACGTGACTCCCCAAGGTCACGTGACCCCTTCCCCAGGGTCACGTGACCCCCGATGACGTCATCAGTGACGTCACTGATAACGTCACCGGCATCCGCATCGTCATCATCACTGATGACGTCACCGGCATCCGCATCGTCATTGTCATCATCACTGATGACGTCATCAGTAACGTCACTGATGACGTCACCGGCATCCACATCGTCATCGTCACTGATGACGTCACCGGCATCCGCATCGTCATCATCGCTGATGACGTCATCAGTGACGTCACTGATGACGTCACCGGCATCCGCATCGTCATCGTCATCATCGCTGATGACGTCATCAGTGACGTCACTGATGACGTCACCGGCATCCGCATCGTCATCATCACTGATGACGTCACCGGCATCCGCGTCGTCATCGTCATCATCACTGATGACGTTCCCGGCATCCGCATTGTCATCATCGCTGATGACGTCATCAGTGACGTCACTGATGACGTCACCGGCATCCGCATCATCATCGTCATCATCACTGATGACGTCACCGGCATCCGCATCGTCATCGTCATCATCGCTGATGACGTCATCAGTGACGTCACTGATGACGTCACCGGCATCCACATCGTTATCGTCATCATCACTGATGACGTCACCGGCATCCGCATCGTCATTGTCATCATCACTGA